TCCCTGGAGCCCCACACATTCCCCAGCTCGCTGCCACTCTCCGCCTGCAGTCCCGGACCCGGTTTTCCTTCAGGGTGGAGCCACGGTTTTTTCAGCAAATATTTTCACAGTGATGCCTGCTCTGGCAAAGGTGTGAGCCGGGCCCTGGTCCCTCCCTCTGCCAGGCGCTGCTCCAGCCAGGTGAGCGCCAGCTCTTTGTGGCCTGGGATTAACTGCTTGTATGTGCTGCAGGCTGGAGAGCTGGAGAAAGGCAAAGCCAGACCCATCTCTTGGCCTCCCTCCTCCCCCCCAGGACACCCCACGGTTGTGCTGCCACACCAGCCAGGGGCAGATTCAGGGAGCCAGGACCCAGCTGGCTCAGCTGGGACAAAGCTTAAATCCCTTCATCAGCAGGTCTAACCCCATCTTCTGTGCTGGCCTACCATGTCCAGAGGTGCTCAGCTAGGAGCTCTGCTGGGAGCCACAGGCCACCCACTGAGCCTACCCCTGGCAGGAGACCACAAGCCATGCCAAAGTGAGGAGGACTGGGATGCAAGTCCCATGGGCCACCTCCCTCCTCCTCAGCAGGATCACACATCTGCGTGCACATGGGGGGACAACCCAGAACCCCAACAGGGGAAGGAGTGGGAAAGGTGATCTTGCTGGGCTGCAGCCACCCAAAACTTGTTTACACTCACCCTGGCACGGCAGTGCCAGCACAAGAGGGCTCAAAGTCTGCCTACACCTTGTTTACACCTGCCCTGGTTTCAAAGCTGCCCAAAGTCCTGAAGCAGAAGGCTGGAGAGGAGAGATGTCACCTCCCAGCACCCACTGTCCCTGACAGAGCTCAGCAGGCAGGGCTGGCAGCTCCTCATCCCACCCACAGCCTGGAGCAGGGACCCAGAGCAGGGACACAGCCTCTGCTCACAGCCTTGCAGTAGCTTTGGGACCATCAAGATCCCAGATGGTCCCTGTCACCTCTGCCACATGGCCGAAGGGCTGGAAGGCAGGAAAGCAGTGCATGGCTGCACCCCAGGCCAGGAGCAGGATGTTCCCAAATCTGGGACAGGAGCAGCAGGCAGGCGATCTATTAATAGCAGCCAGAGGAGCTTTGGTTTGTTTATCTATCCTGCAGCAAACTCGGTTTGCTGCATTAATCCCCATCTGGAAATAATTCAGAGGAATCCTCCAGCCCAGCCCTGAAGCAGGGCATGAACCTGCAGCCACGTGGAGCTGCAGCACCAGCTCATCCCACCAGCAGCTGCCAGATGTATGGAGAAATGAACTTTTAGACACCCCTGTCCCAACATGCTCTTCCTACCCACTGTCTGCAGCTACTAGGAAATGCAAAATTCATTGGGAAAAATAAGCAAAAACTGTTAAAAGTGAGGCCACTTCCAACTTTTGTGCTCAGAGAGCCCAGGAGGCTGCAAACCCATCTTAGCTCCACTGCCAACCCCTCACTGCCAGCCTGCTGCCCACCCCCATGGCACACTGCAAGGGAGATGTCCCCAGTGTCCCGCCTGCTGGGGACACCAGCCAAGCACAGGGTGGGTGCTGGTGGTGCCTGGCTCCACTCCTGTTCTGCACGTGTTTGCTGCACCCCCTTGGACCTGCTGGCTGGTAACCCCTTTGGTGTCCTGTACCCTTGCAGCGCCACCACTGTCACTTCATGCATTCCCTCAGTGCTTAGCAAAGTGTGGGTCCCTGTCACTGTCCCCTTCTCTGGAACGAGGGACCCAGCACCCTGCAGGAAGAGCCCAGGTGCCCCCCCCAGCCAGGGCTGCACCCACCAGCACCCCACTGCCCTGCAGCAAAGTCTCCTCCTGGAGCTTTTGTCTCTACAGGGAATGGCAAAGCCTGGCCCCAGGGCCCACATTCAGCTGCTGTTGACCAAACTCCCAGGTCCTTTTCTGCCAGGCACTTTCCAGCCCAAGCCTGGAGCGTTGCCTGGGGTTGTTGTGACCCAAGTGTGGGACTTGAAGTCTCTAATTTATTGCATTTTTCCATGTAATTAAAGATCCAAGGCAGGCAGATTCCTCCTGCCTGGAGTCCCTGAACCACATCATGCTTCTGCTCTCCTTGCTAGGCACCTCTGCCCTGGGATATCCTTAGTACTTCTGCTTCCATGACTGGAGCTCCTCAGGTTGGGCTCTGCTGGGAACATCTCAGCCCTGCCAGGGACATCTCAGGGCTGACATTTTTATGGCAAGTGACACCAAGAGGCAGAATTGTGCACAGGTGCTGTGCATGGTGTGGGTGCTGAGCACAGGTTGGGTGCTGGACTCCTCTGGCTGCAGCTCTGGTACCCACAGCCAAGCACCAGGACTGCCTGGGGGGCATGAGATCAGTGCTAGCTCCAGGGAGGCAGTGGCTAGGGTGGTGTCTGGTGCTGGGATTGCAAGAGCTCAGAAACCACATGGAAAATGGATGCAGAAAATGGGTTCTGAGGAACCACAAGAACTGCCCAGGCAACACCAAGCCCTGACCAGGACCTGTGTTAGTATCACCCTGGGGCACCCCATTTGGCCTCAGTTAAACCCACCCCAGCTGTCTGGGCTCTCATCCCTGCACCCCCTGTTTGAGGGAAGGCAGGGAAAGCCCTGCAAAGACATGGCCTGGAAAAAGAGCAGGGGCAGTTCTGTAGGGGCTGCAGGCAGGTGTGCAGGCAGGGAGGTGGGAAAAGGGAAGGCAGGGAAAACCAAACTGGCACAAGCCACGGAGCATGAGGACTAGCCAGAGCTGCCATAGACTCTCCCACCCTCAGTTTCAACTGTCCAGCTTCCCCCAGTGGCCGCATTTCTCATGCAAACGGCCAACAGAGCAAACACTTAAAGCAAAACAATCCGGCAGAGCAGGTCCCCTCTCCCTGTCCCGCCCTCCACAGGGAGGATTGCCCTGGGCTAGCCCAAGGCTTGCTGGCAAATATGACCAAGACATGCAGCCCAGCAGGGCCAACAGAGCAATTTTTAATAGGCACAAAGCTTTTGGGGTGCAGGACACAATCCCTGGAGCATCATTGTGTGATGCCAGGCTCCTGTGTCCCCTGCCTGGGAGCTGCTCGGTGGCTGTGTCCCTGCTGCAAAGCCATGTGTGCAGAGAAGCCAGGCATGAGCAAGTCCTGGGGCAGGGGACATGGGGACATCCGTGATGGCTGGACCAGGTTACTGAGTTGTCAGAGGGAAGAGTGGGCAGGATGAGGGGGTGGGAATATCCCCATCCTTCTGTTGCACCCCAAATCCTGGCAGGATGGACAGCAAGCCCTGAGCAAGCTGCAGCCCATCCCCGGCTGCCCCACTGCTACTGCCCATGGTGTGGGTGTCCCCAGAAGTGGTCCCAGACTGCATCCCAGGAGCTCAGCAGCCTCCTCCTGGTGCTCAGCCCTCGAAGGCAGCCATGGCCCCGCAGCACAGGCAGGGCCGGCAGCAGCCGCGCCGCGGGAACAGCGCGGGAGGCCCCGAGTCTTGGCACAGTCCCGCAGGTTGCTGGGTCACTGCCTTCTCCTTGCACGAGCCCTTGGTGGCCGAGTCGGGTTGAGACCTGCCAGCCACCCGGGGCTGCTCCTTGTCAGCCTTGACGGCCAGGAAGGTGGCCAGGTCCAGGTCTAGCATGGCGACCCCGCCGCGCGGCGTGGGCGTGTTTTGGCGGCACTGCGGGCAGGGGATCCAGCGCTGCTCGTTGGCCACCGCGTCCAGGCGCTTGAGGCAGGCTTGGCAGAAGGTGTGGCCGCAGTAGAGCCGGCGGGGCAGGCGGCTGCCCAGGTCGTAGGAGCAGTAGCAGATGATGCACTCGACCCGCTGGCTGCCCCGGCTCGGCGTGCGCTCCTGCTCCCCCGGGCGCGGCCCCGGGTCCCCTGCCCACGGGCTGCCCCCCTGGGCCATGCTGGGGGGCGGGAGGAGCCGTCAGACCCAGGGCCAGGGCGGGGGGTGTTACCTCTGGGTGCAGCTGATGCACAGGGGATATGGGGACCAGCCCTGTGGGGTGGGTTCCCAAGGGCATCAGGCTCCCTGCCCAACATCCCTGCCTGGCTGCCTGCCCCGTGGACAGCCCTGCCTAGAAAACCAGGACCTTGTCACAATAGATGGCTCTGACTGCATCCAAGGGGGATGCATTTTCCCTGATCCCACCCCTGAATCTCTGCTAGGAGCTCTGCCAAATGACCCTATGTCCCTATGCTTGAACCTCAGCATCCTGTCCAGCCTCTGGGTTGGTGGGAATATGGGGTGGGCAGGAGTATGTTGGCTGGGTGGGTAGGGGAGCAGCACCCAGAGGACCAGGCAGAGCCACAGTCCTGCTCCTCACCAGCCCAGAACTGTGCCAGCCCACCGTGGCATGGCTGGCAAGCAGCAGAGTGGTGGGGAGGAGTTGAGAGGTCTGGCATTATCTTAAGTGGGGTCTGGTACCCACCACCACATTTGCAAACCCATCCTGGAGGCCACCAAGACCCCACTCCCACTCTACACGTGACCTCAAGTGTCTTCATACACATGGGCATCCCTCCCCTCCTCCCCTGCCCCCATCCCTACCTGTCCTGAGATGCTCCCCCAGGCCCTCAGGGGAGGTGGCAGAAGGGCTATGCTGTCCCGGGAGGCTGTGGCAGTCCCATGGGGAGCATGGGGGGTCCAAGTCACCAGCAGTGTCCCAGCCAGATCCCGATGGCTGCCAGTGGCAGCAGGAAGGGGCTCCCCTTTCAGGGACAGGCGCGCTATCGGATCTGCTGCTGGGAAGCCAAGCCTGGGAGATTGGGTTACAAGAACGCGGGTAACAAAGACCTTTGAAATTGAAGCCCCAGGAGTAGTAACTGACCATCCACCTCTCCTCCATTAGCAGAAGAAACTGTCCCCATGAGGCCAAGGATCCCTGGGCTTCACTGTGGGCAGAGGGTTTGCACATCCTCTGCGTCAGGGCAACAGCAGAGGAGTCTTCTACATCATCCACATCCACATGCTGGCCAGGAACATCAAGACAGATGTTGGCCAGCAGAGCCACCCCATCAGCCTCCAACCCCCACATCTCCAGGGGGTCCCGGGCCATGGGGATGGCTGTGACAGGAGCAGCAGGGCACAGGGAGGCTCCGGGCTGGCGGGGGCACGGGAGCTTGGGCAGGAACGGGGACATGGAGGTTCCAGCCTACTCTGAGCTGGCAGTGCCCAGAGGTGGGGCAGTGCTCCCTGACAAGTGCCTGGGGTCACTGCTGCCACTGACCCCCCTGCGACCCGCAGGCTCTGGGGACTCAGTTACTCTGCTCTGCCAGGAATGATGCTCATTTCCAGGCTGGAGCCAGCCCAGCACCCCTGGGTGACACACACACGACCCAGGGGAGGTGACAGCACCAGGGGGGTGGCAGGTTCTGTCCCTGCGCCAGCAATGCTGCAGGTGCTCCCAGCAGGGGAGTGTGAGAACGGCACAGGTCCTGGAGCCAGGATCCTGGAGGAGAAAAGCGCATCCTGGAGCCAGGGCAGGGCTGCAGGAACCCAGCAGCATTTCTGCCTGGCAGCAGGAGAGGGCAGCAGCTGCTGCTCCAGGCAGGAGCAGGCAGCAGTGCAGGCAGGGAGGCGGGCAGCTCCCTCCTGCTCACCCAGCATTTCAGCTGCCCTCGGGCCATGTTTCCAGCACTCTTCAACAGTAAGAACTGGGGGGGGTCTGGAGACCAAGAACGCCACAGGGACATTGGGCTCTGCAGAAATCCTCGGCCCCACGACGCTGGGGTGGGGAGCAGGGCAGCAGAGCCGGCAGTTCAGCACCCCGGGTGTGGTGGCCACACCTGACACAGGGTCCTGATACATCTTCTGCAACAGATTTCCCCAGGCAGTGCCCATCGGATGTGTGTGCCCATGGGTCCCCAGGCGTGAGGATGTCACCCCACGGCAGGGCCTTTCTGGGCTGATAGCAGGTCAGGGCTGGCTTGGGATGGGGCTGTGCTGGGGACCTCAGTTTTGGCCAAACTCACTGGCCAAGGTTGGGGCATTGGCTGTGTGTCCTAAGCAGATCAGGAACCAGCTGCCTGGGACTCCCACTGTGCTCTGGCACCTGAGGGTGCCACCCTGCATCCTGTGGGGTGGATGGCAACACCCGGGATGTGGCAGCCTGGGCAGAGCTGGTGCCCAGATGGGCACAGCATGCTCCCTCCAGAGCCCTGTGCCCAGGGGTGTACAGGCAGCTGGATGCCAGGGGATGTCCAGGCACATCCCAAAGCTGGAAAGAAGTCACTGTGCCACCCAAATCATGGTGGTGGCCAGACTCACCTGCCAGGGGGAGGGGAATGGAGCAGGAGGGCACCAGTCCCTTCAGGCCATAGGAACAGAATCATAAAATCACAAAATGGCTCAAACCACAGAGTGGTTGAGGTTGGAAGTGGCCTTTAAAGGTCAACCTGACCCTGAATGTTTCCAGGGATGGAGCACCCACCAACTCTCTGGGCAACATGGGCCAGTGTCTCACCACTCTCACTGTAAAAAATTTCTTCCTTATAGCTAGTCAAAATCTCCCCTCCTTCAGTTTACAACCATCACCCCTTGCCCTGTCACTACAGACCCTGCTAAAAAGTTTGTCCCCATCTTTCTTACAGGCCCCCTTTAAGGACTGAAAGCCCAGCCCAAGGAGAGCTTGGGCCCAATGATTGAGAGGGTGGGCTTGGCTCAGTGCACACCTGAGGATACCCCTGGCACTGCTCAGGGGCAGTGACCCCCCTTGGCTGCCTCTCCTTGCAGAAATACACACACAACCCTACCCCCTGCCTGCCCTCCTGCCCTGCTCCAGCCCCTGAGCTCTGCCAAAACACCTCACCGGGGACACAGGGCAGGCGTATCTGTGATCTGCAATGACAAACATGGGTGGGAAATGTCTTTTCCTCATCCCAGGACTCATCCCCGGGAGCTACAGGGACCTTTGGCCAGCAGGACGGGGAGCGGCACCCCCTGGGGAGTGCAAAGGTCTGATCCAGATGAGCCAGAGCTGAACACCAACCCCCCCACTGTGCACACAGCAGGTGGCACCAGCCAGCACCACCCTCCACACCCCTGAGCACCCTGCGAAGATGAAATGCACCCGGGGAGCACCCACAGGACCCTGCAGGCAGCTGTGTCCTGCAGAGCCCAGCTGAGGTCTGGGGTAGCATCCCCTGCCCACCCCTCGGCTTTCCTGCCACCCCCAGCTTAGCCCCCGTGGGGCTCCTGGCAGGCAGCTCTGTCTGGCCTCTCTGCGTTGTTTGCTGTCACCCCCAGGTCAGGCAGAGCGAAGGGCAGAGGTGACACATGGCACTGCTGGCAGATGCTGTGCCCTGTCAGTGCCCTGCCCAGGTCAGGTCAGCACATCTCTTGCCTCTTGCCCCTCCTGATGCCACCCTGGCCAGCCTGGGCCTCTGTTGAAGGTGCCACACACCCCTAGGGGACAGTTTCCCCTCCCAAAACTACATTTGCCCCTGCAGAGAGTGTGGGACATCCAGGATGTGGAGCAGCCACTGCGGGATGTGGGTTCCAGCCAAGCCAAGGTGATGACACCAGGTCCTGGCTCTGTGGCTGGGCAGGCCTGGCCCCGGGGCCACCAAAGCAAACAAGGGGTGGGTCTGCTGGTCCCCATGCCAGCTCTGCCTGCAGTGCAGGCAGGGAGAACAAGAACCAGCCTTGTGCAGGGCAGGCAGTGTGGGGCTGTGTCCCTGCCAACCTCCTCCAGCCAGCTGCAACCCCCCTGGCCACCCTTGGACACCCACTGGGATGGGAGCTGGGCCAGGCAGAGCACTCAGGACTGGAGGTGCAAACTGGCCAGGCCCTTTCCTGCACGTCTGCCAAGCCACTGCCACTCCAGCCCAGAAGCTCCCAGGGGTAGTGGGCTTCCAGGCAGCTGTGGGCTCCTGATGGTGGTGGGTCCCAGTGGTGGAGGACTCCAAGGGGTTGTGAGCCCCCAGTTCTAGTGGAATCTCAGTGGTGGTGGGATCCCAGTGATGGGTGGATTCCCAGTTCTGGTGAGCTCCTAAGGGTGGTAGGCTCCTCATTCTAGTCAGATCTCAGTGGTGGTGGGCTCTTGGTGGTGGGGGGTGCTCCTGGTGCTGGGGGACTCCCAGAAATGGTGGACACCTCATGCTGGTCAGCTTCTAGTTCTGGTAGGATCCCAGTGCTGGTAGGATCTTGGTGGCAGTGGACTCCAGGCAGTGGTGGGCTTCCAGTGCTGGTGGGAGTCTCAGCCAGCTGGGACAGCGCAACAAAGCCCACCCGGCTGGCCCAGGAAACTTCCCCTTCCCCAGTTCCATCCCCCCGCCTCCCAAGGCCAGGCTCTCCCTTCCCAAAAGGCAGGACAGCCACCCAGCTTGGCAGGTCCAGGTTGAGCAGCAACCAGCGTCCCCAGGCAGGCAGGAGGGGCTGGGGGA